GCCCAAAGAGTGCTATGGACAGTTATGTTAAAGCTACAGAACCTGCAGTATGTTAATGCGATGTTCGAGAACGCCCCAGCAGAGTTCCCGAGCAGAGCTCTGATTATCTTTTTAGACGCCGAAGAGAATAGGGAAAACTAACTTGTAAGTCGGTCCATTCAGTTAGCACCACTAGGTTATTTTACGTTTTTTTAAACAAACTCACTGATGGACTTGAATCATTATAAGATTCTAAATTTCCTTTTGTTGTAATAAAAAGAGAATTTTAGTCGTGTCCATAGCAACACCCTGATTTTATTTACCATAAATGCTTCGTGCAAGTATAACGGGCAATTTTTCATTAAGAATTTGTCGCGATTAAAATCATAAAATATTTCGTTACACGTAAATGCTAAAGCTTAAGCTCGAAATATTTCTAAGCCGAATAGATAGAATTTCGCGCATAACAAAACTGTTTGGAGAGAAAGCCATTTGAATTATAATTAACCAGGCACTCATACTCGATAGCACATCAACCGCTACCATGACGTAGGGCATTTGTCGCAGAACCGACGGCACCATACTGCTATTGGAAGATCATATGAGCGAATTGTGAAGCGCTCGTGTGGGCGAGAGCAATTTAGCAGAAAATGCGTCGAAATTATACGATATATGGCTCGAGGTTGTCTTAAAGGAAACCGCGAAGACCGAATCATCATTCACCCCAAACTCGAAGTAGCGTAAGCGCCGATCCCTTATATTCAGCGAGGATAGATTACGTGTATCGTGAAAAAGTACTTTATTCACTCATATAGATCAACCTCAAAACTGCCACACCTTGTATTAACTCGCCTCAGAAAAATGCCGCCAGCAGTTGATTCCTTATCACATATATGTTCTTCAAACAATTACTGCTCCGGTCTTTTTGATTGCTTGCTCGATAGTGATCCAGGCGAAGCCAACTGCTAAGTTACTAATCCCTTAAGGCTGACTTGTTTTTATTGCCTGATTTGCGTATTTTTTTCCCACTGGATTGAGAGATCTTAGCGCAACTACCTGGTACATCCGGTTTTCCCCCAATCATGGTATCTCCACCGCTCGGGCACCGCCCCCAGCGGATAAAGCTCTAAGCTCCTGATTGGTCTCCCCCATGTGAGGTAGTGTAGTGCACTGAGTACGCGATTAGGCAAGGAAGAGAAGGGAAGATCGCGCGCACCCGTGGCCGTTTTGTAGGGCTGCCGCTGCCTTCGCCCTAGCGTGGATAGGAAAAAACCACGGAAAGAGAAAACATCGATAGACAGGCCGGGCCGCAGAATTTCTCTTTCCAGATTGAGGCTGGAATTGCGACCTAGATACGGTCGAAAAATCCTTGCACCCACTGCCCGCGACGCGGAAACTTTAAGAACCTTCCCAGCAGAGGGCACTGAAGTACATCAGTGATGCCCCTGAGGCCCAAACCTAAAAAAGGGCCCGGGTTTTTTCCAATTTCCCGTGGGCTGCCTCGCAATACTCACTGATTAATTGAATCATTATATAGATTCTAAATTTCCTTTTTTTGTAATAAAAAAGAGATTTTAGTCATGTCATAGCAACACCCTGAGTTTTATTTTACCATAAATGCTTCGTTCAAGTATAACGGGCAATTTCATTAAGAATTTGTTAGCTGATGGAAGATCATTATTGAGCGAATGTGAAGCGCGTGGTGTGCGCGAGGAGCATTTTAGCAGAAAATGCGTCGGAAATTATACGATTTGAAGACTCGAGGTTGTCTTAAGGAAACCGCGAAGACCGAATCATCATCACCCCAACTCGAAAGTAGCGAAGCGCCGATCGCCTTATATAGGGAGGATAGATTACGGTTGTATCGTGAAAAAAGTACTTTATTACTCATATAGATCAACTCAAAACTGCACACCTTGTATTTCACTCGCCTCAGAAACTTGCCGCCAGCAGTCTGATTCCTTATCACATATATGTTCTCAAACAATTTACTGCTCCGGTCTTTTTGATTGCTTGCTCGATAGGTGATTCCAGGCGAGCCAACTGCTAAGGTACTTAATCCCTTAAGTGCTGTACTTGTTTTTATTGCCTGAGTTTGCGGTAATCTTTTCCCCACTGGATTGAGAGATCTAGCGGCAAGCTACCTGGTGACTTCCGGGTTTTCCCCAATCAGGTATCTCCCACCGCTGGGGCACCGCCCCAGGCGGGACAAGCTCTAAGCTCCTGATTGGTCTCCCGCCATGTGAGGTAGTGTAGTGCACGTGAGGTACGCGATAGGCCAAGGAAGAGGAAGGGAAGATCGCGCGCACCGTGGCCGGTTTGTTAGGGCTGCCGCGGCCTTCGCCTAGCATTGATAGGAAAAACCACGGAGAACCATCGACCAGAGCAGCCGGCCGCTAGAATTCTCTTCCAGATTGAGGCTGAATGCGACCTAGATACGGTCGAAAATCCTGCACCACTGCCGGGACGCGAAACTTAGAACCTCCCAGCCAGAGGCACTGAAGTGACATCAGTTGATGCCCTGAGCCACCTAAGCCGGTTCTGCTCCGACATTTGACATCTCTACATGCCGTGGAAAAGATCAAAAGATCAGAGTTACCGACATCTAGAATTCTGAGAGGCTGCTTCCTGACCTAGCTCTGTAGCTAGTGTTGGAAATCCGTCTAGGACCTCCCAGTCATAAAGGCTGCCACGGCAAGACATATCGCCCTGGGCTATCTCAATCCTCTTCTTTCGCCAAGCGCACTTCCGCAACTCAGACGGAATTGGGTTTTCATATAAACAATACGTAGAAATTGCACAAGAGCAAATAAAATCATGCAAGTCTACTTCATTGCAGAATAAGTTTATGAGAAATCGTTCTGACAAACATTGGTTTGAGTAGGGAACATAAATATGGGTTTTCACGTTGCTGTGTTATCGGACTTTATGGTATCTTTTGGCATTTCTCTGAACTATTTAGGGCGAACCCTGATTAGATTTTGTTGTAGAGAAGTCTTTCGCTGCCATCTATGTGCATATCATGTACGTTCAAAATCCTTTTTACTTGATTTATGACCTGAAAAGTATTTTTATAGATTCAGCAGTCTGGACAAGCAGACTTCGCGGCGCAACGCGCGCATCGACTTCAGTCAAGGTTCTTCTTTATCTCAATGCACCGATGGACGTTGGCTCGTGTTTTTGTGATTATTATCAATTTATTTCTGTATTATTTATTAATAGCAGTGAAATGGCGTTTACTAACTTTTAAGTGAATATAGGGATTTGCTACTGGACAATAAATATATCTTTAACCTAAGTATTACCCCAGTTTTAGCTTAAATAAATATGCAAAAATATTTCGACATTAAGTAGTAATAATGATATTTTTATGAATTCTGTTTCTGGTCCTTATATTAACTATGAAATTATCAAGGTAAGCCGAAAATATTTGTAATAGTTGTAGGGAAAATGTTATTTTATGAAAAGTAGTTACAAATCATCGATAATATGAATTCCTAGACTTTGAGTACATTATGTTTTATTTACACTATTGAATTGTATGCCACGATAACTGAACTTTTCGCGTTGTCTATTTTGCGAAAGAAGTCAGTAAACTTTCTCTCTGGTTGTTTGTCTGAAATGTTCCCTTCCACTGGAGATTAAACTTGAGAACTGGCGACAGGCGTCGTTTGCTTGTGGTGTACCTGCCTTGTCAGAACCAGGTCTCAGTTTACTGCAAACCCGCTTTCAATTACGTTCCTGTCAGCCAAGGCAGTCTGAGGGGGCGTGGCGTGTGAGCTTCCGTCGTCGCGCATTCTCGTCATCTCATAACCGTAAGTGAGAGACAGGTCGCCATCGAAGAGAGCGAGCAATTTGAGAATTCTCCGATACTCTATAACCGTTTTCATGTGAGAAATTAATCGAAAAGCGCTGGCCTGCGCAGGCAGCTCATTGATGAGTATGGCTACACGAGTTTCGCTAAAAAGTTAAAAATGATTTCCTCTTTATGAATTTTTACAATTAGTTTTGCCTTAAAACGAAAGTGTGATTTCAAATAGGTGCAGAACTATCATAAAAGCGTACGGTAGGGAATACATTCCATCACTTTATACGTTTTAGTTGCAAATGTTTATTCCTTATTAATTCTCTTGCTAAATTGCTCCACGGTACATGGAAATAGTGCATGTCAAAATTTTTCTTTCACTCTTCAGATGCGATGTTCGTTATCTATGTCCAAAGCATTTCCAAAATATATTCAAAGTTTCCTCTACATTATTACTACCCTTGGTACGTAAAAACCTTTTCTACCATCTCCTAAGAAAATCCAACACCTTTTATTATATGATTCTTATGACATGGATGATTAAATGATTCTTATGGAAAGATGTCTCAATTAATGATTCAAATTTTTTAATAAAATTGATGCAAATATTACATTCCGTACGACAAATAGAGTGAAACTGATAGTACTGATCCAGGAATTAGGTCTATTAGATGAAATGATGCTACGAGTTAAAGAATTAATTAAACCTGAGGTATTATTATTATTATTATTATTATTATTATTATTATTATTATAGCGCATCTTCTATCTCAAAATTTACGGAATGTATAATAAAACTATTTTTGAAGGTCAACAACTTACATTAATGGGAACTATAACACGGTTTGACAATCGAGTGTATTTAGTATCGATAGATGGATTTTAAGATTTACGATTTTGATCATCTGACATCTTCTCAGAGTCTCAGAAATAAACTTATGCATGAGAAATTACTGAGATTAATAAGGATGTACTACTCCGCGTAAACATGATTATCATTTCGTGATCGAAATAGCATTCAGCAACGACTATTTTCGAATTAAATCAAGCAAGTCAGAGGGAAATATTAATTACAAGCTTGAAAGTTACAATTTGAGCGATAAGTCGTTTCCATGGCGACAGTTGATAGTCAATACTCGAGCGGAAAGCATACAAATGACATTCAATAACAGTATGCAATAACGCTTCGCCAAGCGTTGCAAATTTAAGAACTTACTTGGACCTCGCGTCGTGCGGGGGCAGAGGCGGAAATGAACACGAAGAAGGCGCTGACGTCTCCGTTCTTCCGCGGGCCCAGCCAGTTCTCCTCGATAGTGAGCAGCGCGCGGCTGTTCGGCCCCAAGGCGAAGAGGAAGGTGAGAAGGGGCTATCGAGCGGAGTGGGCATCGCACCTCCGCCGCGCCAATCACCTGGCCCCGGGCACAGCTCAACCGCCATTCCAATAGCACTGCTCCGCCGCACGTACCGCTTCCCTACACGAAAACGTTGATTCGACACTAATTTCTTTGTGTTAGGAGTCTCTTTATAAAAAGTGGTATTACAACTGCTTTAGATTTGGGCTGCTCTGAAATAGGGTGACATTAGTACAAATACGACTTAAATTAGTCATTCAGATACAAATATAGAGTGTTGAAGAAGGAATTGAATTATAACATGCCGAATACCGACGTATAAACATCTAAGGGATCATGACGTTATAAGTCATCTCTCTTCAAATTCTTGTTTGAACTTAATATACACAAATAACTTAAAAAATAAAAATTAGTAAATTCATGGGATTAATCATGTGTAACATTTCGGTTTCAAGGGACTTTCTGCAACATTAACCCACAAAATATCAGTCAAATTTTCGCTTTTGAAATGCATTGTCTTGGTATGTCCGTACACTCAATTGTAGAACAAAGAACTATGAAATTTTGAAGATTTTAACAATTTTATACGCATTCTTTAAGTTATTTCGTAGCTAAAGTATTTATTAAGGAAAATTGTCTTGAGAAAATTTTGGCCAATAGAAGCATCCCTAGAATAAATTATTATTTTTCTATGCCCAAATTAATTGAAAAAATCAAAAACAAAAACATTCTTGACATTACCGAAATCTTTCTGGAGGTGCGATTAACTATGTATAATATTATTACTCATTACGTACATTTTCTTGTCAACCGATGGCTACGTTATATTTGTTAAGAATTCTCTAACAAGTAAAGAAATGAATACATGCCTATTAATTAATTTATCTATATTAGATTTTAAAAGATTATCGTTAATTCTGTAGATCCGGAATTAAATTCAATAATTTACATTTAATTTTTGCGTGTTCGTTTCCTATCGAAAATGGCTCTATTTTTAGGAATCTGAATTTCTCCCAGTCTCTTCAAATCCGTTAATACTTTCACTAACTCTGCCCGAGGGCGGTGGATTTAAAATAAGCTGCAAATGCGAGGCCACCAAAACGTGGCGCACGTTGTAAGGTTTGAACAATTTTATAAAATTTCGTTCGAAAATAGTGAATTCCAATGAGAGCACCTGGAATTATTAATTGATGATACAAAAAGAACAGTAGAAAAATGATAAACCCAACCATGTTGTGAGTTTTCAGTGTGTAATAAGGTTTTAGCTACCAAAGGAGTGTGTGAGTGATATTCTTGTGTATAATATTTTGATTCAATTCGGCCGTATGTTTTCAACGTATGAATTATTTTTGTAATAAATTCTTGAGAAGAAAAATTGAGGAAGGAAGATTCTTATAAACATCCTTCAAAAATACTACAATATTCAAGAACGTAAGAAGTCAAATGTGGGTTAGAGACGTAAATGCAAAAGCAATTTAAAAATAATTTTTTAGTAAGAAATATTTTGAACTCATTTTACATGTTTTTTTTCTGAACTCCCAGTTTAAACTTCACCATGCAATGACTACTACTGGAGAGATAAATATTGATGATTAGGCCGAGGGCTCCACCAGGCCCCGGGTCTGCTCGAACGCCTGATGAAATGCACATGCCCCGCAGGCGAGTGGAGAGGGGCCCTCGTGGTGCCAGGCACGAGCAACGCGTGCCGCGCGGGGGGGGCGACGGGCGCCTGCAGCGGCGCGGGCGAGAGGGGCGCAACTAAACAATCCGCTCGATCAATCTATCATATTCATCAGGCAGCCTGCATCTCGCTTGCGTTGCAACGGCTCCTGCAATCGTGATGCCTCGTTAATATTAACCGATACACCGAGGACAAAATGAAGACTTCTTATTGTTCTTCTTGCGTTTTTTTCTACTCTTTATTATTGATTTTTATCTATTTTTTCTTCCTCTATTCTTCACATTTTCTCTCTATTTTCTTATTCTATCCTCTTTTTTCTCTTCTCCTCCTTCCTCCCCTCCCTCTCATTGTTCCTCGGTGTATCGGTTAATAAAACGAGGCCATCACGGATTGCAGGAAAGCCGTTGCAACGCAAGCGAGATGCAGGCTGCCCCCCCCCTGATTGAAACAATTGACGGGCGACGCGACTCTCGAGCCTTGATAGTTGATCGACGCGATTGTTTAAGTTGCGCCCCTCTCGCCCCGCGCCGCTGGCAGCGCCCGTCCCCCCCCCCCCCCCCGCGCGGCACGCGTTGCTCGTGCCTGCACCACGAGGCCCTCTCCACCGCCTGCGGCTTGGATTCATCAGGCGTTCGAGCAGGACCGGCGCCTGGTGGAGCCCTCGGCCTAATCATCAAATATCTATCTCTCCAGTAGTAGCCATGCATTGGTGAAGTTTAAACTGGAGTTAAGAAAAAAAAAACATGAAAAATGAGTTCAAAAATTTCTTACTCAAAAATTATTTTTAAATTGCTTTTGCATTACGTCTCTAACCCACATTTGACTTCTTACGTTCTTGAATATGTAGTAATTTTTGAAGGATTTATAAAGAATCTTCCTTCCCTCCAATTTTTCTTCTCAAGATTTATTACCAAAAATAATTCATACGTGAAAAACATACGGCCCGAATTGAATCAAAAATGATACAACAAGAATATCACTCACACACTCCTTGTAGCTAAAACCTTATACACACTGAAGAAACTCACAACATGTGGGTATATCACTTTTCTACTGTTCTTTTGTTCATCGAATTAATAATTCCAGGTGCTCTTATTTGGAATTCACTATTTCGAACGAAATTTATAAAATTGTTCAAACCTTACAACGTGCGCCACTTTGGTTGCCTCGCATTTGCAGCTTATTTTTAAATCCACCCCCTCGGCAGAGTAGTGAAAGTATAACGGATTTGAAGAGACTGGGAGAAATTCAGATTCTAAAAATTAGAGCCATTTTTGATAGGAAACGAACACGCAAACATTAAAGTAAAATTACTTAATTTATTCCGATCTACAGATTAACGATAATCTTTTAAAATCTTTAATAGAGATAAATTAATTAATAGGCATGTATCAGTTTTCTTTACTTGTAGAGAATTTTCACAAATATAACGTAACCATCGGTTGACAAGAAAATGTACGTAATGAGTAATTAAATTATACATAGTTATCGCACTCCAGAAAAGATTTCGGTAATGCAGAATGTTTTTGTTTTTGATTTTTTTCAATTAATTGGCATAGAAAAAAATAATTTATTGTAGGGATGCCTTCTATTGCTCAAAAATTTCTCAAGACAATTTTCCTTAATAAAATACTTTTAGCTACGAAAATAACTTTAAAGAATGCGTATAAAATTATAAAATCTTCAAAATTTCATAGTTCTTTGTTCTACAATTGAGTTACGACATACCAGACAATCATTTTCAAAAGCGAAAATTTGACGATATTTTGTAGTTAATGTTGCCAGAAAGTCCCTTGAACCGAAATGTTAACATGATAATCCATGAATTTACTAATTTTATTTTTTAAGTTATTTGTGTATATTAAGTTCAAACAAGAATTTGAGAGAGATGACTTATAACGTCATGATCCCTTAATGTTTATTACGTCGGTATTTCGGGCATGTTTATAATTCAATTCCTTCTTCAAACACTCTATATTTGTATCTGAATGTTACTAATTTAAGTCGTATTTGTACTAATTCACCCTATTTCAGAGCAGTTTCCAAAATCTAAGCATTTAATACCACTTTTATAAAGACGACTCTACACAAAGAATTAGTGTCGAATCAAACGTTTCGTGTAGGGAAGCGGTACGTGCGGCGGAGCAGTGCGGGGGGTGGGGGGGGGATATTGGAATGGCGCCGTTGAGCTGTGCCCGAGTGCAGTGATTGGCGCGCGGAGGTGCGATGCACTCCGCTCGGATAGCCCCTTCTCACCTTCCTCTTCGCCTTGGGCCGAACAAGCTTTCGCGCTGCTCACTATCGAGGAGAACTGGCTGGGCCCGCGCGAAGAACGAGACGTCAGCCCTTCTTCGTGTTCATTTCGCCTCCGCCCCGCACGACCGCGACGTCCAGAAGTTCTTAATTGCAACGCTTGGCGAAGCGTTATTGCATACTGCTATTGAATGTCATTGTATGCTTTCCGCTCAATATTGACTATCAACTCGCCATGGTAAAACGACTTATCGCTCAAATTGTAACTTCAAGCATGTAATTAAATATTTCCCTCTTCTTGCTTGATTTAATTCGAAATAGTCGTGCTGAATTTTTGCTAGTTCGTCACGAAATATAAGTCATGTTACGCGGAGTAGTACATCCTTCTTAATCTCAGCAACTTCCTGCTAGTTTATTCTCAGACTCTGAGAAGATGTCAGAGATCAAAATCGTAAATTTAAATCCATCTATCCGATTACTAAAATGCACTCGATTGTCAAACCGCGTTATAGTTCCCATTAATGTAAGTTGTGACCTTCAAATAGATTTATTATTCATCCGTAAATTTTGAGATAGAAGATTGTGCGCTATAATATAATAATAATAATAATAATAATAATAATAATAATAATACCTCAGTGAATTAATTCTTTACTCGTAGCCATCAACTTCATCTAATAGACCTAATTCCTGGCATCAGTAGTATCGTTTCACTCGGTTTCTCATACGCGATGTTAGATATTTGCAAGCAATTTTATACAAAATTTGAATCATTGGTTAAGACATCTTTCAATAGGAATCATTAGTTATCATCCATGTCCATATAGAAATCACATAATTAAAATGTGTTGGATTTGCAGGAAATGGTAGAAAATGTTTTAGCATACCGATAGGTAGTAATAACGGTAGAGGAACGT